GCTAAGGTCGTGACAGCACGCCTCCCAGCCGCCGATCCTCCTTACTTTACATCCGTAGTGACAGAAACAAGGCAACTCACCGGTTGTCCTTGTTCCCAATCGTGACACCGCCGACTCCTCCTTCTCCACCGTCGCTGCTGCTTCTCGGCCGCTCGACCACCGCCGCCGCCGCTCCCCAGCCAGCAACCTCCCCTCCTCGTTGCGCCGTACCCGCCACAACCACATCCTCTCCCCTTTGAAGCCCATCTGGTCGAAAGGGGCCCCTGCCTCCCCTGCTTTTGGCCAGCCCCACCGCAGTCGCTGCATTCCGGGCAGCGACCATCGTCGCCACTGCTCCCCGACCAGTAGCCTTCCCTCCTTGCTGCTCCACCCTGCTCGAGCGAGAAGGGCCACAGTCGCTGTTTCCTGGCCAGCGGACCAGCCCCCTCGTCACTTCTACCGTCGACGACGCTGCCCCAACCGCGCCACCATTGCTGCCTTCCCTTGGGTCGTAGCTGCAATCGCTCGACCATCCCTACTCGCGGTGATCAAACCAAGGCAACCACGGCCGTTACAGCCATCGTCGTTTCCTCAACCGGACGCGATCCCTCGGCGTCACCAGCGCCTCCTTCCGCAGTGCTACAGAGACAAAGCAACACTGCCTTCCATCCATGCCGTCGCAGCCACCGCAGCAGTGAGCCCTTGGCGGCGCTACCCCAACCGCACCATCACCACAGGTTGCCATCACCACAGCCTCAACCCCGCTGCTCGGCGATCGCCCCTTGGGTCGCAGCAACTGCAGCCACATCAACGCAGTCGCCTTCCAACCCCAACGCTCTCACCCCACGCAGCGATAGAAACAGGGCAGCTACTCTTCCTCCAACGCAACGACCGCAGCACTGCCCTCGGCGTCCACCTCCTCGGCAACTTCGCATCAATAGTGTTGATGCCCTTGACCGACACCAAAAATAGAAGTTGAGATTACAGATTTGCAATCTTACGCAATGGCCACTGATAACTCGGTGAAAGCACAAATGGAAGCATTGAAAATCAGAATTGAGAACTGACTGCAAGAAACACTTAATGATTTCAAAAAGAGCCTACTGGAGAGCCTCAGCAAATTTCAACAAAATGGGGGCTCAAGTTATACGTTGCACAGATCTGAAAATACAAGAAAAGGGCCCCAAGATTGTGACACAAATTACTCACACATGAAGGTGGAATTTCCGAGATGGAAAGATGTAGATCCGACCAATTGGATCTCTAAGGCAGAAATTTTTTTCCGTTTTCACAGAACCCCAGAAGAATCCAAGGTAGAAGTGGCCTCAATCCAGCTCGAGGGAGATGCACTCTAGTGGTACGATTGGTATGAAACTTTCCACGGAGTTCCTTCGTGGGAGCAGTTTAAAAGAGGGCTTCTTGTTCGCTTTGGTCCATCCAAATGTGAGAATGTTGATTGCTAGCTCGCCAAAATTCGTCAGGCTTCTACAGTGTTAGAATATCAGAGTAGGTTTGAAAGATTGTCAAATCAAGCTAGAGATTGGTCGGACCGACAACTTCTGGATACATTTATTGAAGGGCTTATTCCAGAGATCCGGTGTGAAGTTAAGGCTCGTCAACCCCGCACTATGATAGCTGCGATCTCATTTGCACATCTACATGAGAAAAAAATTAGCAAGGAAAGATCAGCAAGGGGTTTGTACTATGATGAAAAATGGAGTATGGAGCACCGATGTAAACAAGGGCAACTTCTGATGATTGAACCAATTGGAGAGGAACCGAAAGCTAAGAATGTGGACTCCGATCATGAAGGTATAAATTCTAATGAAGATGTTGAACCTACCATACATACAATGTATACATTAGCCGACTACTCTAACCCGCAAACTATGGAAGTTGGCGGAACTCTAGAGCATTAGCCTATTATAGTTTTGATTGATACTGGTAGCACTAACAATTTTATGGACAGTGAGACTGTTGACCGATTGACCCACCACATTGAAGACTATGACAGATTCGAAGTAAAGATTGTTGATGGACGGATTTTCACTTGTGATAGCAAAGGTTCGAAGATAAAATTGATTATAAAGGGCCAGAAGTTTCTTGCAGCGATTACTACACTGAAAGACCGACCTGTTGCTTACACTATCAAAAAGTGGATACCATACTTACTTGATCCACGGGTTGTGATGCGTTGCAGATAGTCTATGACTAAAGTGCTGAAAGAGAAACTCCCCGAGATTGATGCTACTCAGCCTTAAGGACAAGGCTGATATGAAGAGGGAGAAACTGTTAGGACCCTTTTTATGAGCTTTTGAATAATGTTTATTGAGTCTGTTTAGTTCAGTTGTTTATTGAGTTCAGTTAAAGTCAGATAGAGGTTTATTTAATATTTATTTATTATTAAGAGTCCAAGTCCTAGACTCTAGGTGGAACTCTATAAATAATGATGTAACCCTTTCTTTTGAGAATCAATCAATCAATAAAATGTTATTCCACTCTGTGGACAAACCCTAGGAGGCCGATCCCCTCGAAGTGATCAAGGAGGGCCGATCCTCTCGAAGCGATCAAGGAGGTCGATCCTCTCGAAGCGATCATTATCATTCCCTTTTCTCCCATTTCTTCCACGATAAGACTTTAGGGTCTTATCAATTGGTATCAAAGCAACGATAAGACTTTAGGGTCTTATCAATACCAAGCCTGTGCCAGTCCATGGCCTGAAAAATATGGTTCTGACACATGATGCCAGTACATACCACAGTATCAAAGGGTGGAGGAGGCGGAGCATCTAGTGGGCTGACAGTGGTGGGTGGCAGGAGCAGCAAGCAACACGAGAGAGGTGAGCATGAGGCAAGAGAAATTGCAAGGAGAGAGAAAGGGGGAGAGAGAGGGAGAGAGAGAGAGAGGTAGCACTAAATAAAAAATATAAAAGCACTGGACTATCAAGGTGGGAAACCCTGTAATGGACTTGGACTGCTTGAAAAAAGGCGATCCATGTCTTGTGACAAATATTGACCAATATATACCAGTTTGTGCGCAATGGCAAACCTTAGTGTCAACACCACTTATGGCATGTGCCATTCTATTTCAATGTCGAATTTAAATATCTGCATCTCTAGACAAGTATCATTTAAGGATTAACTGTTGTCATCTAAAGAGTGATGCAATTGAAGAAATCATTTGATATTTCAAGGTGTATGTTCATGGCTCATGCATCCAAACTGTAGATCAAGAGAATGGTTCAAAAATTCCTAATTTTAACATTTCAGCTTGAGCACCATAATCTAATTATCATTCTCATATGGAATTAAAAAAAATAGCTAATAATTACTGAATATACCTATGATCATACAAAGGAACATTTTTACCAATCAGAAATTATTATTGACCACCAAAACCGAACCTTCTTGAAGTTTCAGCGCAAAGAAAAAGCACTATGAAAAATAAAACTCAAATGTAACAAGATCTCAGTCTAAGATATTCCTTACTTAAAAACAAGAACAGATGTCTTGTACACCTTCACTGCCAGTTCCTGACCATCAGCTTTTGTTGCATGATAAACATTTGCCTGTGTAAAAAAAATGTCATGCTATCTAGGATTTCTAGAACTAGAAAGATTATTTATAAACAGACTGTCAATCCTTTTACTAGGTTTTTATCATAGTCATCATATATGATATGCCTAATTCATATTTGTAATATCTCATTACGGAACCATTCTTGGTTTTATAGCTGGAAATCGGACATAATCACGTATAATCAGTCAAACACACTGGTCTTGGCCAATTCTAAGCAATTCCACAGTCTCAAAGTAAGAAAAAAGGAGAGCTGTGAAAGGGAAGGAAAAGAAAGAGAGAGTCAAGGTGGAAAAGGTCAAAAACGAAACCTAGATCATGGTGAAACAAAGGAGAGGATGTTATTAATTCATTCTCTATTCATTGCAACCATAAAACGTGGTTTGCCACCATCGTTGTGAGGCTTATTCTTCATCACTAATAAATAAAGAGAAAATGGCAATGGAAGAGGAAAGGGCAGGACAAAGAGTAGCTTTAACCTATTAAAGAAATAGGTTCCATACTAGACAAATGAAATATCATACATTTTCATGATAAATTTCAGCTTCCACGAGCACTCTTTTCAAAGAATTTTGTTCTTTTCTTTGCTTTATCTTTATCTGTATTGTGATTCAGAGACATCCAAGCAACTGCAGTGTCCATTGCTATAATAAGCTATAGGTGCACAAATTTTGAATCTTTTATATATGTCTTTGTCTGATACAGTTAATATGAATGGTTTACGAACAAATAATTAGTGATTGTAATGATTTATTATATATTCTTTTTTTATAATCTTTTAGGCAGTTTTTATCTTTTAAATTTTGGTCTAATGTCTTCTCTAAAAGTCAGGAAATATGGGGGTACAAGAATTTTTAATATTTCCAAATTATATTTGATATTTTTATTACTTTGCCAGTTTATGATTTTTTATAATTTTAGTTTCAAGTTGAGTGATTTTGCCGATATCGGTTGTATTGTCCCTAGCCAAACTTGACACATATCTGATCTTGCAAGTATGGTTTCTGTCTTGTAGCAGCAATTCCAAAGTTCTACATGTCCATCTGTTTCCTTTTTTATCCAAATAAACACAAAAAAAATCAAATTTTAATACTATAAGTTTCAAGATTAAAGACATACCTCTTTTCCAGTAGATATGCAACCATTAATATCATGGAAGACTCCACGGTTCAGCATCTTGAACAACACCATGCGAGTTCTAGGGTCAATGGCCTGCCAATCAGAGATGTTATCTCAAGACAGACATAGAGATAGTTCATCCAAGTGCAGATAAGAATGAAAGGCTAGTAAAAAGTAGAAATGATATAGTTAGTTGATTGGGCATTATATGCAAGTTCCGAGACAAGAAGACACACTCCACACATAGTATTAGCAGAATAGCAATAGAAGGTGAAAGAATCCAGCGCACCAATCAGGACAAGGTTTCAGAATGACAAATGAACTGGTAATTTGCCCAGAAGAATCCAATGGCAGTAACAACATATTCAAGAGAAGTAAAACCAGCCAAAAGCCAAGATGTTGTCCATTTTAGTTCTACATCAACCAGATAACAGTAACCATTCTCCTTCCATAGACAAAACTGAAAAGTACCAAATCTGAACAACAGTCGAAGGAAAATACTCCCAAGAAATGGACCCTTTTGCTAGTTCAAAAGTTAAGTAATGTCTTGACGCCATCAGCACAAGTCACTTGAATAGTTAAAAAGCAGTAAAATCGGCTATATTTCTCTAAACTAATGTTGTGAACATGTTACATGATGTTTTCCTGATATTTCACATAAAAAGGGGAAAGCATGAGGTCACAGTTCCAAACACCTTCCATTGCTTCAAGCACAATACTTTTACAAAACTGGATGATCAAAATCCTAAATATTGAAGAACTTAAACAAATCATAGGCTTTCTTTTCCTGGAAATGTAAATAACGCAGCGATGCCTCCTATAAGTAAGCATATGCTTAAAAAATGTCAAAACTTCAATTTGTTGACATAGAAATTGAAATATTTAAATTCAATTTTAGATATATAGACTACATTCTTCTCTAGAAAAAAAAAAAGACTAACGAAACACTAACCTGCTCAACAGTAGCCCTGTCAGCTTTCTCTGTATTCCTTGTTCTACCTATCGCCATATCTCGAACACTGTCCCTGATTGCAGTCGTCACCGAGTTTGACATGCCCACGTCCGTTCTTCCTTCCCATTCCTAAACAAACATTTTGCGTTACAGAAGAAATTAAAATTAAAAAACAAGACCAAATAGTACAATAAACAAAAAAAGGGAAATAAACTAATTCAAAAAGTCAACACATGCAGATTGAAGGTCATGCAACCTCAAGCTGTGGACTTGTTCATAATCGAACGATCACATCCATAACTTTGGAGAAAGCAAATTTGTCGGGAAAAAAATAAACTATTCTACTGAAAATTCAACCAAACGACATAAAAATCCAAAATTTACCATTCTGCCAACGAAGGAGATGCTTCCATCAACAAATCGATCAACAGAAGAGAAAGAATATACTCAAAATAGGGAGACCGAAAGACACCTCTAAAGGATTAGCCCGGATGTGGGTGGAGTATTTCTGGTTGCGGTTTGAAAGGGGTTGGAGGGGCCGGGAGAGGAGGCCGCCGTGGGCGTTGGGGCGATGCGAGGACGCGAGCGAGAAGGAGGCCGACGCGCCTTCGCCGTCGGGTCCATCCCTCAGGTCCAGCCAGTCCAAAGCCTCTCCCACCTCCGACTCGGAGGACCACGAGTCCTCCTCATCTTCCGATAGCTCCTCCGCTACCCTTGGCACTTCCTCCTCTCGGTCTCCCATGACGAACTCGGCGACGACAAGCCCTTCCATCGGCTTGCGTCGGATTCAGGGGATTTAAGAGAACCAGAGCACCATGACCCTAGGGTTTTGTTCTGGTTATTAAATCTGAACCGGACCGGACGGGACCGGTTGGTGGGCCCAAAAAATCGGCCATCGGATCTCAACCGGTCCGATCCATTGATGATTTGGATTAAAAGGATCGAAATATATATATATATATATATATATTAAGAATATTAAATCTCTTGTCCAATGAGAATATTAAATCTCATATCGAAGCGTACCATCCGTATCGGACAGTACGTACCGGTTCAATAGGTTACCGGTACACGGACCACCCGATACCACTACAATGCTACAGTACTACTGTGACATTACTACAGTATGATAAAAGGTATTAAATTGTTTAGTACACCAAGATGTACCGTTCGGTATGCCCTGATGTACCGCCCGATACACCGGTATTGTACTAAGCTCAGGTCGAAACGTCGGTAGTACGGCGAACCTTGAGTTGACCTATTGGTTCAACCAATGTAACTGGAGATCCGACTAGATTCTCGTTACTTTTTTTTTTTTGTCATTAGCGGGCCTAGTTTTGCAGGGCACATAAATGGATCAAGTAATAACAGATCCCAATCCGCAACATCTGGATTGAAATCCGCAACTTTGATCCGACGACCCAATGACGAATGATCCTATTCGATCCGACTCAAAGAGGGATCATAACCCGATCCGAACAACCAATATTGGGCCGGGCACGTAATTGGACCGCATACTGGTGAAGTGGATCCACAACTTTGATCCGATGACCCGAATAAAGAACAATCCAATCCAACCCAACCCAGTTTTAGATAGATTACAACTAAATCCAGATGAGTCTACTTCGATTGTAATCAACATACAAGCCAAAGCATTCACATCAAAACATATACTTTTCTTAGCTTGAGTTTTAGATTTATATTTAGCTCCAACGTGAGAGTAAAAAGTCCATTATATGTAGTTAATAAATTCATTTCGAAAGGTGTGAAACGAGAAAAGAAGAAGAAGAAAGAAAAAAAAAGAAAAACAAAGAGTAGAGACACACTAGAAGCAGATTCAAGAACATGGAAGAAACAAAAAACTATATATCGATCATTGTTAGAATTTCCCACTTCCGTTCTTTTTATTTTCTTGTTCTTCATTTTTGCCAGAAAAACTATTATGTCTTGAAAGAGAAGTGCTAAATTCTGGACGAACACTATGAGAATATATATTCTTTTCCCAGATTTCCATTGGCTTCTTCTTCTCACAAGAAGAGCGGGAAATCTCTTCGACCTTCGGAAGTGCCTCACAACTGAGACATTAGGTGGTGGAACTTTTTGACATGGGGCCTGTGGAGTTGGGATTGGCAACATCAAGCGCCGGTGGAATAAGATCTTAAAGTCAACCTTCAACAGATCCGAAGATTTCTGCAATGCAGATCTCCAGCTTGCAGTCGGAATAAGATATCAATTTTTTACTTGGGCAAGATACATGATTTGTTTCCATTTGCAGAATTCAACTACATTATGTGGCAATAATAAGCTTGCAGGATTTCTGATGACAACCATCGTTTTGTTTATACTTGTGTTTAGTTGGATCACGAGGATCTTCATCCCTTCCAATAAACTCAAGGTCTGTTAGCCAACTAAAGTGTCACTGGTTGCTGCATTATTTGGACACCTACTCCCTTACTCTAATCTGGAAATAGGAATCATGGGAGTGTGCAGGATCCTGTGCGAGTCTGAAGCATTGAATCTGAAGCTCTTTCAGCATGCTATTATGGGACACCATAAAGGAAGATTAGGTATCATGCTCCCATGCAAAGCTAACTCTAAGAACAGGTCATAATATAACTTCGCCTCCTCATGGCATCGGCATCCATCGGGCCCGACCGGGAACACGGCGGTCCGTCGAAGAAAGGGCTAATAATGATGGTGGAAACACCATGAGAGCATCATGAGGTGGTTGTTCGGGTGACAGTAAAGGCTTGCTGGTGTGCAACATGGGGTGTTGGTTTCCTCCTCCACACCAAACTCACTGACTTGGGTCTTTATCGATCCTTCACTCCAAGGATGAACCCGGAAGGAAGGTGATTAATTGGGCATCAAGACTTGCATGACATGGGGTCCTTCTTGGGCTCTAAGTTTAGGTGACACAACTCGGAGATGCCACCTCTTTTGGTCCTTCCCTCTTTGCTCTTAACATGCAGTGCAAGTCAGTGATAGGACTGAGGAGGATACAGAACTGCACCCACCATTGGCCTCGCAGAGGCCATTAACCCTGTGACCCCATGATCACGCTTGGAGTCAAGAGAGAGGGTGGCCAAAACATTAGTTAACGATAGGTTAGGGGTGGTAGCTCATGACTGACCTCCTGTTGCAGGACAAAGACCAGTAGATGGTTGGTAGGTATGGTTGGTTCAGGAGGCTAACTGGTGGCCATTTGTTGAGCTCACCTGACCACCAAAAATTAAATGATCAGGTGGATTTACCAACACAATGATCTGCCTGCCTAAACAATAATAATAATAATAGTCTGAAGAGCTTTTAATACTCTTTTTTTTTTTGCAGAAACAAATTAAATAGTATTAATTAGGTCATAGCTATGATCTGTGTCTTATCAATGAACTCAACTTGAAGCAAGTAAAAAGGAGATCTTGCTCAGGCATCCAACTGTGGTGTTACTACACCCAAATGGGAGTTGGTCATCCTTTATGGTGGATGGTTTTGTTATGGCATCAGTTTACAAGATGTATCAAAGGAACACAAGTGACTGAATCAGCATGGTAGGCATTTGTTTGTTTACTTGTGAGATTGAGATGGATGTTGTTTTGCTCAACAACATGCAAGTTATGCACTGTTGGTCCCCCTTAGTAATGGAAAAGTTTCTGCCTTGATGATGAATTCACTTTGCTTAGAAGAAAGAGGCAATTGCCATTCATGAGAATAAGGAATTCCAAGTTTTATTTATTATGTTAAAACCTTTTTTTGGTTGTTTTATCTTGTTTGTAAACTGGATATGCAATAACTATATATCACCACTAATCTCAGCCTTAGCAAGCACTATATTGGGTAAAGATTTTAAGATCTTATTAGTTAAATCTTTTACAATAAAAATAATTGACCTCTCTGAAAAATCATTGGATGGAGCCAATTTTGAAGATCAATCCGAGACATATGACAAATGGAAATATCAACCTTGATGTCTACAAATTATGTGTTCCTTGAGAACAAAATTAGTACCTAAAAGTAACATAAACATAAGGAGAAATTTTATGTGATAACTGAATAATATTGAGGAGATACATTCCTTTTCCTTAGTTAGGTTGATAGGTCTCTCATATGGGTTATATAAAGTGAGTAATTGAGCACTATTTCACTTGAGATATATCGATGACAAGATAGACAATTATGTTCGAAATTGATCATTGAGTTGTAACATCAAATGACATAGTTGAGATTTGTGAGTTATGCAACTAAATGATCATTATAGATATCATATGTCGCTTTCTCATTCATTAATTCGGTGCCATTAAATCCCACTCATCCAAAGTGTTACTCATGCTCATTGAGATATTTCTTACCTTCTCACGCTTGCCATCACACTAACTCTTGCGTTAGTCGTTTTCTTGTTCTCTTACTAACATGTATGATCTTTAGTATATAATTAATGTTAGAATGTTTTGGTTGAACTATAGAAAAAATTATATTATTGAAATGAATTCAAATGGCATCATATAGCTACTGATTAGTATTTGGGAAGAAAGGGAATTCTTTCCATATGATTATAACCTGAATTATATAGCCTGATGTAAATAAATGTGGAGCAAAGGAACATGATAAGCTAGTAGATCGTCGTGTTACATAATTTATAATTTGTAACAAAAATGGAGACAAGATAAAAGATTATGATTTTTTTTTTCTAGTGTGTTTTTTGAAGAAAAACACATTCTCTTTGCTTAATTTTGCCTTATATTTTTTTTATTTTTGTTTTGAAAAAAGGCCATCTTCTTAATGAATCAATGAATCACAATAGTGTCTATTTTAATGATTAAAACAAGATTGAATCTTTACTGTAAATTAGGATGGGAATTACATAATTGTTATGTAACTTTCAAGAGATTAATTTGATTTTAATAATAAAAAATTACAAAAGAAATATGTTGCATATAATTACAATTGAAAGCTTAAGTAGGAACTCAATATATTCTAGTACATTTCTAAGTATATATTACTTCAAAAAGTATTCTATTATTCCACAAAGAAATTGGATAAATTGTTTATTATGTGTGACATAATTGAAGATTTTCATAAACACTCTAATAAATTTTTTTTTAATTTTTGACTCACAAATATCTCTGATACATAAATGTCTTGGGGTTCCTTCAGTGTAAAAATCATTCTATAATCAGAGCGTTTTCTTTGTATGATCATATAAAGATTATGACAGTGAATTGTAAATTTGAGAGTGATCACCCTTACAAATTATAAGTCAAAATTATGTAATTATGGACCTTTTATTAGTCTAAGCATATAAAGATAAAAGGATTTATTAATGATGAAAAAAAGCCAATTCTAATTCTCAGTCCTTGATCCATTTTTCATGTTACCAAATGCACCCTAGAAAAAATTCTTATCCTCGAGATAACAAGAATTAAGTGATGAGAACATTTACTGTTCATGGTTGCAATCAAGGTACTTTGGCTAGTAATTCCTTGTGTTCATCAAGGACTTTGAGATATGAATGGGTGGAAGCACTTTGGATGTTGTCACTCAACCCCACGGAACAGAAGCATGAGAGACGCACACACACTCCCCTTTCTCTTTCCAACTACAGTATTCATGTCATGGTGTGCGATATGATAGTGTTGCTACTGACCACCACCTTCCCACCTTTGGACGCCCTCCTCCATCCTCCTCCACCTTATGCCCTCATCTTGTCACACAGCCTTTAGATTTCTATGGCAACACCTAAAACGCTAGAATCGATTATTCTTAAGTAGGAAGACAAAGTCAACAGTATGCTTCACATAGGATACCC